TTAGTGTTCTCCCATTTTACAACCAATCATCACATCATACTTTAGTCAGTTTCAAAAGGAGGGGGATTTACTCCATTAGTTGTCACAGTTTTTCCCCACATTGCTGTTTTGTTTCCTGGCCACCGATTATATTTCTAATCCAGATGCATGACCTGAAGATGCTTATTTTGGTATAGAGGAGAGGAGAGGAAGTAACCTTTGTAGTACTCTCTGAACATCCGCAGTGTGAAGCAGATATACACCCTCACCTCAGAGATGCAATACAGGAGGCTGGAGAGATGGATCAACTGTTAAGAGCACTTGTTCTTGCACAGAGGACCTGAGTTCAATCCCCAGCGCACACATGGCAGCTCACAACTATCTGTAGCTCCAGTCCAAGGAGATCTGACACTTTCTTCTGACATCCAAGGGTGCCAGACACTCACGTAGTACACATACATAAAGGTGAGCAAAACACTCGCACAATACAATAAAATTAATATATCTTTAAAAAAGAAATATGTAAGAATACAATGTGGCTTTTTAAACTCTCTGATAGCCATAAATAGGAATGATATGTGAATATGCATATGATTTTATATATATATATATATATATATATATAATTTATTATAAAATCTCCCCTGGGGTATAAATTTAAAACATAAAAGAAGCAAAAAACAAATGGAATTATTTACAAAATACATTTCATCTAATGTAGCCACACTATTACTATTTCAACATAGAATCTGTATTTAAAATTTGGAGGACCATATAGGTTTTGAAGTGTGTGTTTTATGTTCAAGGCATATTTCAATGTGGATGCTGAATTTTAATGGTTAAAATGAAATTGAGTCATTCTAAAACAGAGCTGTGAGCCAAGGAGCCAGCTCAGTGGGTAAAAGGCACCTGCCATGCAAATACCTGATGACCCGAAGTTAGAGCTCTGAAACCAGGGTAGAAATCAAAATGCTGTGGCTGGGCAGTGGTGGTGCACACCTTTAATCTTAGCACTTGGGAGGCAGAGGCAGGCAGTTCTCTGAGTTCAAGGCCAGCCTGGTCTACAAAGTGAGTTCCAAGATAGCCAGGGCTATGCAGAGAAACCCTGTCTCAGAAAAAAAAAAAATCCAGATGTTATAGCAAGTACTGCAATCCCAGCACTCATGCAGCAAGCCCAGCACTCATGCAGCAAGCCCAGCACTCATGCAGTGAGCCCAGCACTCATGCATGGAGGTGGGAGGTGGAGACAGGAGAGTTGCCTGGCAGCTCATAGGCAGGGAAGCTTGAAAGCAGCATCAGCCTGATTCTTCCTGAAACAAAATGGAAAGAGAGAACCAACTCCTGAAGGTTGTTCCCTGACCTCCACATGTGCACTGTAGTATGAACAACTCTCTTTCTTACACATATACTAAAAGCAACACCAAAGTTGTACATAATGGGTGAATGTTACACAGTCTTTAAATTTATCCCTGTTGAAATGAAATGAAATGATCTGTTTTCAGTTCTCAACTGGGTAGTGTGGCTAGCAGCTGCCATGGTGAAGGAGTCTGATCCCGATGCTTAAAAAGGGATAAGGGGATGAAATGGAGTGAAAGAGTGAAAGAGCTTTCAATCTAACAGAAGAACAAAGTTTACTCACACATCCATTTCAACATCGCGCAGAAGCCGAGCATGATGGGTGTACACCTTTAATCTCAGCATTTGGGAGGCAGAGGCAGGCAGATCTCTGACAGTTCAAAGCCAGCCTGGTCTACAGAGTGAGTTCCTGGACATCCAGAGCTACCTAATAAACCCTGCCTTAAAATAAATAAGTCAGCATTGTTCAGAGTGGATGGGTCATCACAGGAAGTCAACACAGTCAATGCAAAAGCCTTGGGAACAGGAATGTGGTTGGTTTTTGTTTTCTGTAGTCTTTGAAGATGAGGCAATTAAAAAGTCACTCTGGCTACTGGAAATGCTGCTGTTATGAGGCTTGAGCTCCTGCCTGGCATGTGCAAGGCCTTGGATTCCGCTCCCAGCCCTGCAGGAAAAAACAAAACAGAACAGAACAAACAAACCAAATAAAAACAAAACCAAGAGTTGTCTCTTGGCCCCGGTGTCACTCTTTGGGAGCATTTCTGTCCCCTACGGGAGAGCATTAGTCACTTTCCTCCTTGCTTGGAAGAAGCCAATGAAAGGAGGAAGGGTTGATTTGGGCTGATAACTTGAAGGCTGCAGCCCATTGTGGTGAGGTGAGGGAGGTATTATGGTGGGAGCTGGCCACATAGCGTCCACAGTCAGGCAGCCGAGAGAGCTGAATGTTGGGGCTTATCTGCCTCTCTCCTTTTCTCCAGTCCAGGATCTCAGCCCATGGAATAGTGCTGGTCATAGTCAGGGTGGGTCTTCTGTGCCCGCTTCAATGGTTTTGGGGACTCCCTTACAGATACACCCAGAGATTTGTCTCTATGGTGATTCTAAACCACATCAAGTTGACAAGATCAGTCACCACAGGGAGCTTAGAGGGGACTATTAGAATACCCTACACAAAGGGGCAGATCAAGGCCATTGTCTGGGTACCAGATGGCTGTCTCTCATCCCATTCATGTAGCCACAGCACTGACCTGCCTCCTGGGTGTGGGGGGTAGTCTGTGTCAGGGGTTTCCTTTCTTGCCAGATTTCATCCCCAGTGCTCTTCAGCTGGTGACTCTTCCTGGTCAAGGCTGCATGAGATACACATCAGACCCTTGTGGTCCCTGGAGAAGCCACACAGAGGACCAACCTCATAGCAAATGTCTGCTCCCATCCCTTTAAGCCGGAGGTATAATGGTGTCAGCAGATATTCCAGAGTCCCCCGTGGGTGGTCCACCCCAGCTAAGAGTTGGCCTTGGCAAGAGTGTGATTCACTTTCTCGTAAATAGAGCTGTGGCTCTTCTAGAACATTGGCTCATAAAAACACTCGGCACCTTTGCTAGCTGTAGGTCCCCCAAGCAGCCACCTCCCCTGCTTCCAATCTCTCTCTCTGTCCCCCTAGGAGGCTTTCTAATTTGTTCCCAAGCCACAGCAGATAACAAGTTTAATCAATTGATAACGTTCAGGGTTCACGCTCTGTAACAACCCCAGCTGATTCCTATTCATGTATGCTAATCCTAACGCACATTAATTATGCATTTAATAAGTCCTTGTTTATTCTGTTTGCCTGCATTCCCTGGATGGCTTTTATGGTGTGAGGTTGAGAATAATGACAGTGTTAGTTGTGTTCTACAAATAACAATTAACTGAGGGTGGATCCTCAAATGGAAATTCCATTTTCTTTTCCTTTCTCAGAAGAAAATGACATTCATCATCTTCTAGGTCTAGTCCCTGCTCTGTGCCTCTCGTTCACTCTCGGGGCTGTGACTGCCTGTTGAGTCCTGTCAGCAGAGATGTGTCTTGTCCCGACTTGAACGACTTCATTGCTTTGTGCTCCCCTCTTCTAGGCCACTAGGTCTGGGACATGAGCTCAGTATGGCAGCTTGGGAGAGAAGACAGACTTCCCCCCATAGATCTGGGGTGCAGAGTATCTTTAAGATGAGTCTGTGTGAAGCCTCCCTAACCTCACAGGGGAGGGCTGTGGTACATCTAAGCTCCAAGAGACATCTGGAGCAGCCATACCATTTTGATCCAGCTGGCTCTATTCTGCAAATAGACAACCCTGCGGCCCATGTATTTTAGATGTGACCTGCCCACTTGTGAGTGTTAAGAACCTTATTCCTGTCTTCCCTCAGTTAGTTGCTGCTGGTTGCTGGGATCTTTGGGGCTATCCATCTGATTGCTTTTGTCCTGGATTCTGTGCTAAAGCTGGTTGTCTTAGGGTTTCTGTTGCAGTGAAGAGACACCACGACCAGAGCAACTCTTACAAAGAAATCATTTCATCGGGGCTAGCTTACAGTTTCACAGATTTTAGTCTATTATCATTATGGCAAGCATGGTGGCATGCAGGCAGACATGGTGCTGGAGATGGAGTTGAGAGTCCTACATCTGGATCCACAGACACCAGAAAGAGCATACTAGACCCATCTTAAGCATCAGAGACCTCAAAGCTCATCCCCTAGTGACCTATCTTCTATAGCAAAGCCACGCCTACTCCAACAAGGCCACACCTTCTAATAGTGCCACTCTCTGTGGGCCTCTAGGGGTCATTTTCTTTCAAACCACCACAGTGGTTATGTTTGATTGGCTGCAAATGGCTGTAGCCCTGTGACCTGGCTGCTCTGCACAGCCTTACTTCCTTTCTCACAGCTGTGGCACGGGCCATGACTAAAGCATACAAAGAAAGGAAGATTGGCACACAGTTTGCAGGTTCAGTCTGTTGCGTATCACGGTGGATGTCACGTCAGGAGGAAGGCGAGACAGATAGTCACATCCCATCGGTGTCCAGGAAGCAGAGAGAAATGAATATCGTTTCTGACTGACTTTCTCCTTCTCATGCAGTCTGGGACCCCAGCCCGTGGAATAATGACAGCCATGTTTACGGTGGGTCTTCCTTCATCAGTTAACCCAGTCCAGAAACTCACTCACAGACACCCAGAGATTCGCCTCCTGGATTCTTCTGGAACCTGTCAGGGTGACATCACTAACCACCACTCCCGCCCTCCCCTCAGAGGACTGTATAGTAATGTTAACAGCTCTGTGGATGACCCTGGGCTCCGGGACCTTTGCAGCCCATTACAGTGGTTCAGGTCCCCCCCCCCAGCCTTATAGCCCCTTCCTTTCCCTTCCCCAACACATACGTTATAAATGGAATTGAAGTGATGACTCTGAAAATCAACCTTACTCTCTCGATAACTCTACTGAAGATTGAACATTTGATGCATTTTAGTTACTTGTTGCTGTGACAAAATACTCTGACAAAGCGGACTTCAGGAAGAAAGGGTTTCTTTTGGCTCACAGTCTGAGGTTCCAGTCCATCTTGGTGGGGAGGGCAGAGCTGGGGGAGGGTGGGACAGCTGATCACATGGTGCTCACTGTTGGAAAGCAGAAAGAGACGAGTGCTGCTCCTCATTCTTTCTTTATTCAGTACAGGACTCCAGTTCAGGGAATGAATTCCTTCACAAACGTGCCTAAAGATTAAGCTGAATTGAATAATCCCTCACTGGGGTCTGGAAGCTTGTCTCCTAAGTACAGTCTAGATCACGTGATGTGGGCAATCAGTATTAACCGTCACAGGATAGATCCATACAGTTGAAGAATGGCTGAACAATGTAATTCAAGTGTACTCCATAGACAACATGAAATTTGGGGATTTTATTAAATGATAACCACTAGATAATGAGAGTTCCTCAGTACCAAGGAGAGGTCAGAGTTTGCCCTCAGGCTCTGTAGTGTGTGTCTTATGAAATAACCCCCGGGAGTGTATGGGAGAACAACCTCCATTGGAGACTGCCCAGTCTGTGAAGGAAGGGGTGTCATTCCAGGCTCCAGCCTGGCCCCTGCTCTACAGATGCCGGGGGGGGGGGGGCGGTTAGCTAGGGCCGTGGACCCGAGCTGGCCGAGACAGAAAGGATTGGCATGAACAGTGCTTTCCTGGATTGCTAGATGCCGCGCTGGAAACGGTCTCATGTTGGCTCCTTCCGATTCCTAGCTCCATCTCTTCAGCCGTGGAGATCACTCAGCTCACCAGCTTGCTTCTCTGGTCCCTGTTATGGCCCACGACTGTCACCTCTTGAGAGCTTGTTCACTTATTCTTCCTCCTTATATTCTTAGACTTTCTTCCTGGCTCAGGGATCAGGGCACAGAAGTAGAAAACAAACACTCTGAATCCTGTTTTCTGGGGCAAATGAGGTCTTCTTAAATGTCAACACCACAATATAGGTGTCTCCTCTCTTCTTTTAATCAAACCCTTTGCTCCAGGCTTAGCTGTTTGTCTGCAAAATCAATAAGTAGTGGTGACAGTGACATCTTGGCTTCGCTTCCATGTCCTGCCCTCTAGGGTTACCCTGCTCCTCTCCCCTCTAACCTAGGCCATGTAGGGTTTTTGTGTGAGAAGTGGGGCAGTGTTAGATGGCTAGCTGACAGGTTGAGTCATTGTTTCCTCCAAAGGATCAGGGCTAAGCCAAAGGGGACAGTATGTATAGATGGAATTTCAGGCCACAAGGAACTTGGGGGGATAAAGCAGGGGTGCATGAGGTCTGGGAAAAGACTTGAGGCTATGCACCTTTCCTGATCTCCTCGGGCTCTGCCCTGTGAGAGGCCAGTTACTCTGCCCTGGTCTGCTTTGTCCTGGAGGACTGGGGTAAGTGCTGGATTTTACCTCCTGGTAATTCTGAAGAGTGCCCTGTTGCTTAGAGACAGGAATGGTGCCTGAAGTGAAGATAAGGTTGTCAAGGAAACCAAGCCACAAATTCCCTTGTTTTTCTTCGGGTTGCTGGACTGAAGAGTAAAGGATTTTTGCTCTGACAACTGGAAGAAGATGCCTTCCTTTCTGTGTGTGTCTAGCAAATTGATGTGTTGTCCAAAACACAGCCAAGATGGTCCCTAAGTTGCTAAACAGGGCATCAAGTTCTGACTCATTTTTTTCTGTTGGAGAGCACTTTCAAGTATAGACAGAATTAGGTGGCCATTGCGATCTGGACTTTTCTCAGCCACTCTATCATACAAATTAGCCTCTTTGAATTCTGACTTCATGTATAATCAGTCCCTCATCTTGTGCTGTTGCAGTTTCCTTGGAGACTCCCAGTAGAGTCTTCCTCTTTCCTATTTTCCATCTTGGATGTATTTTTATGCTTGAGATGGTGACCGTCATACACCTAGACATCTACCCCTCAGCCCTGGCATTACTTGGGGTTCAAAGATAAGGGTACTCCTTCAGCCTCAAGGAGATCCTTTGTGAAGCTTTAAAAAAAAAAAGCCAGCAATAACCCTCTCATCTGCTCTAGCCTACATCCAGGAGGAAACCCCAAGTGCTCACGCTCCCCTGGGGGCATTGAAGGTCCAAATGAAAAAGGTTTTGACTGGTGGTCAAAAGTAGCTCGTGTTGTAAGAAGCCTGCTGAGAGCCGTGCGTGTGTGTGTGTGTGTGTGTGTGTGTGTGTGTGTCTGTCTGTCTGTCTGTCTGTCTCTGTCTCTTGCCTCCATGGCTTTTTATCCTTCCCTCTTTGTTGTCCTCTTTCTCTCCTACCTGAGTGTCCCTCATGGGCAAGCATCAGATGTTTTCTGAGCATCCCCCACCTCACTGCTTCTGACTATCCGCTTGCCCTGCACAAACCTCCTCCACAACGACCACCCTGAACACAGTCCAGCTCTGTCCCTCTGCCATGGCCGGGGGTGTTTTGGAGAAGTAGCATGATTGCTCAAGTGGGTAGCACTGGAAACACAGCCATGGAAGGCACACAGCTACTGGGCAGATGTGAGGATGAGGATGTCAGAACAGGGAAGAGAGAACTGGGGGGTGAATACTGTGTGGTCCTGAGGCAGCAGGATGTTGAGGTGCACCAGACCTTTCAAAATGCACAGCATTCTAATTTAAAGGGGAGAAAGAGGAGGGGCCTGCTCTCCAGAACCCCAAGATACAGGCTGCAAACGTCCTGCCAAGTGTCTCTGCCAAGATGGCTTTCAGACATGCCCATTCCGTCCCTACCGCCTGTGTCCCATAGCCCATAATGTACTGATCGTCACCCAGGTGTTCTTGGCTAGAAGCCTTACTACCGTCAGGACGCCTCCCATCCCTCCCCACCCCCATTTCCATCAAATACCAAGCATACTGGCCCCGTCCCACCCCCCCACCCCCCAGCCTCTTCTGGCCCTGCCGCCTCATTGCACTAGTCTCACCCCAACACCCTGCACTCTGTCCCCAGACTCAATTTCTTTACTTTTTTTTTTTTAGGTTTTATTTTATTTTTCAATGTGTATAGGTGTTTTGCCCACATGTATGTATGTGCACCATGTGTGTGTAGTGCCCACAAAGGCCAGAAGAGAGGATCAGATCATCTGGAACTAGAGTTACAGATGGTTGTAAGCCACCATGTGGATGCTGGTCACTGAACCCAGGTCCACTGGAAGAGCAGTCAGTGCTCTTAACTGAGCAATCAATCTCCAGGCCCCGAACCTCACTTCTTAAAAGGAAATCTTTTTTCCTGCTGATCGCCACCTCTCTGAGGAAAGGAGGAAAAAGTATTTCCATTACTGACACCTTACATCATCTCTCACCTCCCATGTCCTTGAGTTCTGTGTTCTGCTTGCCTGGAGACATACCATTTGAGATTTCCCCAGCAGCACAGGACGGTCTTGGTGTCTCTGCATCATCTTTACCAACACTTGTCATTGTCTGCCTTTTCCTAGTGGATGTGAGGATGTGCGTCCTGGTGGTTTTGACTTGATTTCCACGATAGTTAATAATAGTGAGCAGTTTCTACGTTAGGGACCAGAGGCCTCGTGGGTATCAATGATCTAATGTATGAAGCCTCTCCTTCAGTTCCTGGGCACACACTGCAGTGACACAGAGTAGAGTCATGGATCTGTAAACTCTAGATTGAATTCTTCTTCCACCCAGGGGAGGAGGGTGAACCTCTGGTTTGTTTAGAAGAAGCAGGATGTGAACCATTCTTGGGAGGAAGTGTGGCCTGTATAGATGGGGAGAGCTTATATTTCTTTACACTTTTATTTTACATTACAAGTACCTATAGCATCGAATAATCCTTTCTGTGCCCAGAGGTGTGGCACTCTTTCCTCCTCCCTCTCTCCTTACCCAGAATTCCATGCATGCATTTTCAAGTTCAGGAATCCTATAGTCGGCCATTTTCTCCAGGTTTCTCTTCATCTGCAAGAGAAAAAGAAATACCCTTGCTCTTTCATGAATGTTAGAAAATTCTCGGTGACAACTCCAGAAAGTCAGACTCTGTGGCCAGTGCAGACAAGGTGGCACTTGTGTGGCATTAGTAGTCCTGGACATTTCTGGATTCTCAGACTAGAAGTTACCATTTGCCTCTGAGCTGCAGCCCAGGATGTTCCCTTTAGGCAAGTCACGCTGGGGAATCTACTGTCCAGCAATAATTTTAAGTATGAACATAAGGTGGGAGAGATTTAAGGACTGCAATGGGGTTCTGGAGACTACCCCATGACTTGGAGAGGGTGGGAAGGATGGGAGGTAGAACGGGCTCATAGGGCCAGGGCAGGTCAGGGCCACCTCTCAGTGCTCTTCACTAAGACGGCAGGGTTGTGTTTGACTGCTGTGGATGAAGGATGATGGAGAGAGAGGTTGGTGCTCAGACTGATGTCTGGATGCTTATCACACGAAAATGGGGAGGAAGCCCAACCCTTTACTTTAGAGCTCACTCTTTGCTGTTTACCCCAAACCTTACCTCCAGATTCTCTGGTCTGAGAGGAGCGAGCAGGAAGAAAGGGGACCCAGGCCCCAAGGTCAAAGCTGGACAACTTAGAGACACTTCTCTTGAACTCTGATTGTGGTAAAGTGGTTTTCTTCTGTGAAAAGAAATTTTTCAAGGTCTTGGAGGCTGGGCATCTTAAGTGAAGTAGTAGGCAGAGATGGTTCCTTCAGGCACTGCTGAGTGATCTACTTGTTCCAGGTCTCTGTTAGTTATTTTTCATGTTGTGTCAAAGTACCTGAAAAGGGGGCTTAAGGAAGGAAATTTATTCTGGCTTACCATTCAAAGGGATCCAGTCCTGGCTTATAGTTCAAAGGGATCCAGTCCTGGCTTACAGTTCAGAGGGATCCAGTCCTGGCTTACAGTTTAGAGTGATCCAGTCCTGGCTTACAGTTCAGAGGGATCTAGTCCTGGCTTACAGTTCAAAG